TTGAACAAGACAGCAACAGGCAAAGCTCATTTATAATGTAGGTCCAAGGTAGGCTGGAAAGGTCTTGATAGAACCTTTTGTGGGTGCTAGAAATGTTCTATATCATTTTTACGGTTTATATAGATTAGTATACTTTATACATTCTGTGTATCTTATACTTAATAAAAATTTGTAAATGATTAAATAAGGATCACAAGACCTACCCATACCAAATCCACTATGAAAGTAAGTTGATTTTATTTTTAGTAAGCCAACTCGGTAAATTTAGTAAAGTTTTTTGTGAGAATTAAAAAGTGACATCTGGCTGGGCATGGTGGTTCACGCCTGTAATCCCAGCAATTTGGGAGTTTGAGACCAGTCTGACAACATAATGAGACCCTGTCTCTACAAAAAATTAAAAATATATATATTAGCTGGGTGTGGTGGTGCTTGCCTGTCTTCCCAGCTACTCTGGAAGTTGAGATGGGAGGTTCGCTTGAGCCCGGAAGGTCAAGGCTGGATGAATCGTGGTCGTGCCACTGTACTCCAACCCCGGCGACAGAGGGAGACCCTGTCTCAATAAATAAACAAACTTGCACAAGTACTTGGTCTACATATGTTTGTTTAATCCACATTAAAAGTCTGGAAGTTTTGCATAATCTGGATTTCTGGCTTGCAGAGAAGTCAGACGGTCTGGCAGCAGTGGGCTGGAGCTGCACGCACCCATATTTAATGAGGCACTCCCTCTCCGGTTTGCCTTGGGGCCCCACTGATTCCTGTGATCCTACACCTGTTGCTTTGCTCATTGACTCCACCTGCCTGGTCTAGTCAGCATTTGACTTTGCCAGCATGGTAGAGCAAACACTTGTTGACCAGTTATCTTCTTCAACTCCAGCCAACTGACAAAGCTATCTTTTCCAATAGAGCACTGGTTGACGATTTTTAAGCCTAAACCGGGGAAGGGAATCATTGTGTCTTACTCTCTTTGATCTCTCCAGTCCATGGCAAGCACTCATGACATGCTTGTTGAGTGAATGAAAAACCCACATCACGTGGCGACTGCCTGCTTGTTACGTATCTCCTGTCACATTTCTTTTCATGGTACATGGGTTTGTGAGCCCCACTGTAATTCAAACTGCCCTCTTCTACTATAGCATAAGATGCAGGGTTAGGAAAGCGAAAGGAAAAATGTTCTTCTCACTATCAGTTTAAATCATGATTTGAAGCAGGTTTTATTATACCAAATTATCATCAGGCTAATTGCTTGACAACCTCTCTCATTACTGCTGGCTGGCGCCATTCAACTGATCCCTTCTGCTGATATCTGACTGGGGGAGGCGTGGCATATCTTCACTAAGGAGAATTCTGCTACCCCGAAAATTACCCAGGCTGCTAAGCATCATATATGCCATTATGGCCCATTCTGAAGTTGCAGTAAATCTAATATGTGCAGTAGTGTTGAAGAGCACACTGATTAGAAATCAGGTTACCTGGCTTCAAATCCTGTTACTATTACTTGTTAGTTTTGTGACCTTGGGCAAGTATTTTTGTTTTCTTTTCTTTTTCTTTTTTTTTTTTTTTTGACTCGGAGTCTCACTCTGTCGCCCAGCCTGGGGTGCAATGGCATGATCTCAGCTTATCGCCACCTCTGTCTCCTGGGTTCAAGTGACTCTCCTTCCTCAGCCTCCCGAGTACCTGGGATTACAGGCATTCGCCACCACGTCTGGCTACTTTTACATTTTTAGTAGAGACAGGGTTTCTCCATGTTGGTCAGCTGGTCTTGAACTCTCGACCTCAGGTGATCCACCTGCCTCGGCCTCCCAAAGTGCTGGGCTTACAGGCATGAGTCACCGCACCCGGCTGACCTTGAGCAAGTTTTAATCTCTCGGTGCTAGAGGTTCTTCAGCTGGGAAATGGCAGTAATAACCTCCCTAGTAGGGTGGTTGAGAGAGTTAAAACAAAATTTGTAAAGTACATATGTATTTGTAAAGTAAATATGTACCCTGCCTGATGCATAGTAAACACTCTGCTAAGTACATATGTAAGTATACAAATGTAATTGATATGTACTTCTAGCTTTCCTCTTAATTTATTCTTTGTATTAGCTATGTAATTTTCCCATGAATAATGCTATAGTTTATGCTACACAATTCTTTTTCTCCAAAGGTTTTTTTTTTTCATCACTAAGAATAAATTGTGAACCCAAATGTAACTCCTTGACCTGCTATTCTTAGCACTAAATGGTAACTCGGTTTTCCCTGTCTGGGATGGTGGGATTTTGAAGGGATGATTGAGTTCAATGCCTTTAATTGCTACCTTCTGGCCACTAACATTCTTGTGAAGAAATACCTTGGTTTCCCCCAAAGAATTAAAGAATGTGGAAAGAGAGAAAAAGAACAGGGGGATATGATTACATTAGGCCAGCAGAATAGAATCAGAAATAAATTGAAAAAATGTGTTGATTCTCATCGGTCATGCCAGCCAGTTTTCATTTGTGTGCCTTTAGATTTCTGCATCATAAGTGGTTTATGTCCTACAGTTATTATACTGGGCAAGTATTGTATAATAACACTTTGGACTTAACTGACATCTTTTATGATACTAAGAAGCCTAGAGCCATTATCTCATCAAACTTGTTAAAGTTTTGGTGTCGTCCGACTGGGATAAAAAATGATCACCTGGGTGCACAATGAGCATTGGGCTCAGCTGCTGTGCGTCTGCTTCCCTCAGAGCGTTTTCAAGGATCTGACTCTTTCAGACATACTTGGAATTCAACAAACACAATTTCCCAGGAAATTAAATGAAAATGGGCTGGAAGAGAAAAACTGAGCTTACTGAGTTTCCACCTAGGCTCACTGCCCTGTTTTCTTTTGGACTGAAACCTGTATGTGGGAATTTACAGAGTTGGGCTAGTTTAGAACCAGAACCCCATGAAATTGGTAATCCAGAATCCCATGAAAGTTTATTTGCTGTCTAACACGTCCTCATCAACTTGGACCTGGTCCCTACCCTCGCCATTGAGATCTATTCTACAATCCCTCTTCCTTCTAAAGATGCAGTGTGACTTCCAAAAGTGAGATGTACAGGCCACCTGTTCTACCTGAATCTTTTGCATATTTTGTGAAGTTAATTTATTAAGCATCTAAGAAATGCCAGCCATTGCTCTATGTGTTTGAGACAGCCATGATAAAAATCAAAGACCTCTGTCTCATGGAGCTGACATTCTTGTGAACAGAAGCAATAAATAACAAAATACATATGTAAATGAAATAGTATGTTAGAAGTTGGTGAGTGCTCTTGGAAAAGAAAACCAGACCAAGAGTTCAAGAGGCTATTTCTATCTCCTCCATTCATACAATTTCTGAGTTCCTCTTGGGAGTTTAAATTCCTATGCCCTACAGGCACTTAAACCTACCTTACACAGAAAATCAATCTACCTTACAACACCTAGAGAATAGTTTAACTGTTATGGACAGACCCAGAAATGAAAAAAAATCAAAATGAGCAAAGAAGCCACAGTCTTCATTATTTTGTGCAGCTTTCCCACCATAGAGCTTCATCTCTAACCCCAAACAAGCACCTTACAAGGACATATGTGAATCGTTAAGGAAAAATACCAGCAGAAATCTGGTGTTCTGAAATCAAGGCTATTCATCTTGGTCTACAGTTCATCAAAGACTGACATAAAACTCTCCTGCCTTGGATTTATAAAACGGCAGTTAGGAGAAAGCAGCATGTGTTTGAGTAGATGACCTGCTAGCTTTAAAAGAAAAGTAAAAATAAAAGCACTCTTCTAGCCCATATTAGAATATACTCATCTGGTATATTCCTTTTTATCCTCTCTTCACCACAAATATTAGGACTAGGAAGACACTGAGTGATGTTCTGGACCAGGGCCTCCTCCAAGGATGGGGAACAGAGCCTTAGACAATAACTAACATGCTCAAGGTCAGTGCTAATCAGTGGCAGAACCAGAAGGGAAAGCCAAGCTCCCTCCCTCTGGTCCAGTGTACAGCGGGGTCTACAGCACTACTTCCAGATTAGATCATCGTTATTTCTTCCAAGAAGGGTGGCCTAACTGATTGCCAGAGAATCTGGGCACGTAGAAAATGAGAAGTCAAGATGTTTGTGAAAGCATTCACATGAGGAACAGAAGTGTTTGTTTTTTATTACAGCTGAGTCTGAATGCTCTCTAGAACTCAGATGTAGAGAAAGAAGGAAATAGAAGCTGGGGCTGTGGGCAGGTCTTACCTGGGCTGGGAGAGCAGCATGGTGTGAATGGTCTTCCTTCTAAATGAGGGGAGCTGGTGCACATTCCAGAGTAGTTTGCACTGACTCAGGACCTCATCATCTCCAGACTTGAGGACCCTGGACCTCACCATCCTTCTGTCCGTGAGTGGCCACCCAACCACCCAAGGGTTGAAGGTCATGCTCCGTGCTCTCACCTCAGGTCATGATGAAGGTAGGAAGAGCTACCATCCAGCCCATACCATGACTGGGTAATGTTGGAGCCTTCCTGTAAACCAAGCACTATGCTAAGTGCTTTTTCATAGCATCACCTCAGTCCTCACGTTAGATAGGCACCCATTTCAGAGGAGAGAAAACTGAAGCTGGGAAAAGTTGGATAATTTGCCTGCAATCACAAAGCTAGTGGATGCAAAGCCTTTATCTCAGAGGGTGGTGGTTCAAAGCGTGGTCTCTGCAATCAGATTGCTTGGGTGTGCATTCCAGCTCTGCTGCTTGCTGCCTGTAAAACGTTCAACAAGTTACTTAACTTCTTCAAGCCTCAGTTTCCACACCTGCAAAGCTAGTAATATTATAATTATTAATTATAATAATTAATTATTATAAAATTATAAAAATTAATTGTAATAATTAATTATTATAAAATTAATTATTAGTAATTATAATATTTACCTTATAGAATTGTGGTGATGATTAGAAAATGTAACATGGTAACTACTGACACATAGTAACTACTAACTATAGGTCAACTGTAGATTGGAACCACTTACAATTTCTATTGCAGTGAACCAAAAATTATCAAATATTGGCAATTTCATATAGTTTAATCTAATACTACTAATAGAAATCCATTCTTTGTAAATATCTTAATCCTTTCCTTATTCATCTCCTAGTTTGTGGAAGGACAGGTGATTTAATTGCTCCAATATAACTTTTTTTTTTGAGACAAAGTTTGGCTCTTGTTGCCCAGGCTGGAAGTGCAGTGGTGAAATCTCAGTTCACTGCAACCTCCACTGCCCAGGTTCAAGCAATTCTCTTGCCTCAGCCTCCCTAGTAGCTGGGATTACAGGCATGTGCCACCATGCCCAGCTAATTTTTTTGTATTTTTGATGGAGATAGGGTTTCTCCATGTTGGTCAGGTTGCTCTCGAACTCCTGACCTCAGGTGATCCACCCACCTCAGCTTCCCAAAGTGCTGAGATTACAGGCGTGAGCCACTGAGCCCAGCCCCAATATAATGTTTTTTAACTTTTACTTGTTTTAGTTTTCCTAAAGAGTCACATAGATTTCTTTTACTGTTAACACAGCGTCCATGAAGACTGTGTATGCAATATACATGGTTCCCAGAGCCAACAACCTACTGAGGATGTTGTCACAGAGAATCTGGCGCAGAGTGGATGTGAAGTGAGCTTAAAATTGGACAGAGCTGGACTATCAGAAAGTGGTAAATGAAGCAGTCCACTCCTGGCTCCTTTAAACTACTGTGACTGTTCTGCTGTTTTGGGGAAGAGCGTTCCTATACTAGCCAGGTGGTTGTGACAAACAAACGTTGAACATGACCATTCATCATTCCACACAGTGGAGATGAGGTTTGGTCCGCAGCAGGAGGTAGTTAAATTTGACGTACTCAAAGTGAATTGCATGGCCTGGCTGCTATTGAGTAGCCTTGCTGGGAGTAGCCTATGATGGAAGGAAATTCTTCTCTGTTGTGGTGTTTTGGGGAAGTTGCCTGGTGGGGAGAGGAAAACATAAAGCTGGGATAAGAACTGTGCTCTCCAAAGAAAAAAGGAGGCTACTTTTGAGATGGAGTCTTGCTCTGTCACCTAGGCTGGAGTGAAATGGTGTGGTCTCGGCTCACTGCAACATGTTTCCTGGGTTCAAATGATTCTCCTGCCTCAGCCTCCCAAGAAGCTGGGACTACAGATGCATGCCACCAGGCCCAGCTAATTTTTATATTTTTAGTAGAGATGGGGGTTTCACTATGTTGGCCAGGCTGGTCTCGAACTCCTGACCTCATGATCTGCTCTCCTCGGCCTCCCAGAGTGCTGAGATTACAGACGTGAGCCACCACACCTGGCCAGGAGGCTACTTTTGAATGAATGCATCTATGATGCAAGATCTAGTGGGAGGCTTCTCTTCTTTTGAAAGACCATTCTGTGCCCCACCCTGTTCCTATCCCACATTTGCCTCAATTTCATTTTTTCCTTAGATTTCACATTATAGATACATAAATAACTCAAACTCAAGTGGAACATTCTGGAGAGACAGAGTTTCTAGTTAATACAGGAACAACCTTTCAATAAAACTAGTATCACATTTGAAATGCAATGATATCGTCCAGGATGCTTTAGACTTTCTTGGCATCTGGAGTGAATGCTACTGCTTGTAGAAAATAATCCACTGATTTCAGAATTCTGGGGGCGGTGGGGGTGCTCCCTTTCTCTCTTCTTTCTTTCTACACTTAAAAAATAACCTGCAAATCTTGTTCAAATTCTTTTGCAAGGAAATGTATAAACTATCTGTGCATCCTACAGGTTTTTCCCCATCATGATGGCTCTAAACTAAGGAAAATACATTTACATGCCCATAAACTCAGACACTCTTGGAGTCCCATTTTCTTTCTGTGTGTGCTGTTCCTTTTCTCTCTCTCTCTCTCTTTGTGTCTATGGTTACTGTTAAGCTGACCTCTACAGTCTGGGGCAAATACCAAACTTGAATCAAGCACTACTTATCCATACAGCTGTGAAGGATTGCGGTTTCAGGGGCTCAGATGATAGATTCAAGTAAAGTTTCTAACTGGAGTTTAGGAAACCTGTTATGATTTCATCTACAAAGGCAGGCTGCATCGCACCCCACTGTGCCGAATTTTAGATGCAATGTTGTGTTATTGTTGTTTTTTCTTTTTTTAATGAGAAACATCTTTATTATAAATGATCCATTTTTATGTCTGTGTTGATTTTTATAATACCGAATTTCATTGTTGAGAACAATGACTGCAGAAAGATCTTTATTGTTCCTGCCTCCTGTCTGGAAGCAACTGTTGCTTGCAAAAACCATAGCTAATTAAACATTGAACTTAATTAGCTACAAAGAAGCCAGACTGGCCAGGGCTGGGAGGAAGGGCAGATAAAGCTGCCGACTCTGTGTTCTTCTTTACCTTCGCTTTAATGGTCTTCGCAGCTGGTCGTGTTTATGAGTCAGACGACCCTAGAGCGACACTTGTTGGGGACGGGCAGGACACCACAGCCCGACCGGCAGCTCCTGCGAGTGGCGGCCAGAGCCGAGTGCCAGCGCCGTGGAAACCGGTTCTCAGGTTCTCGCCGAGTGGACTTGCCCTTACATCAGCGGGCCTGCTCCTGTCAGGCAGGCGGCCGGCGATTGGCCGGGAGGAGGCAGTCATTCAAACTGCCTTTTGTGCTTGGATAATCAGGGCAGCCCAGGTTCCCAGCGGAGGTGCGTCTGTGGTGTCAGACACCTGTGTCTCAGCTCTGCCTTCCTGGGGCTGGCTTCTGAGGATCCTTTCTGGGCCGGAACCGCCTCTCTGGGCCACCTCCCCCAAGCCCCCGCGGTGGACCAGCCTTGGCCCCGTGTCACGCAGGACAGAAATGTCCAACAGATAACTGAGGACAATGGACGTGCCTAGGCATAGACTTCCTTAAGGTAAGTCTATTTTAACCCAGTTATTTCTCGCTGACATTATTTCTCCGTTGATCTTGGCAGAAATGCCGGTATTGGGAAAGTGAACTGAAGAGAGGTAGGGAAGTTGTTCAAGTTAGTTAGGCCTTTCTGATGAAATCACCAAGGCTTTGGACTGTCAGACGCTGACAAAATAATATAAAGGAATAAATAAAGATGTGCAGTGGGAGGAGAGAGCTTGACAAATGACTGTAGTCCTCTCAGGCAACGGGCACTTTTTCCTATTTGATGAGAAGCTCAAGTGAAACAGCATAAAGTAACTTTTAACTAAGACCAACAAATATCTATGCTAACTTGTAGAATAATACCAAGTCAGTCTGAATATCTTGGCTCCCTCCAATCATGCAACCTCAGGATTTATAGTCTAATTTTAATTATAACTTATTTTTAAAGTTATATTTAACCTTCTCATTTGGAATATGAAAGCAGCATTTCCTTTTTATGTTTGTTCAACATGGGTGAATCAATGAATTTCACTTCAACAGCAAAACTGGATTATATTGATTGGTTGGCTCACTCTTCTCATCCTTATGTTTCAGAGAGAAGGTTGGATTATAAATGCAAGCACCTAGATTTAAGCAACAGTTGAGATGCTTAGGAATGTTAAGCTGTGATTCTGATTAATCTTAAACTCTGCCCTGATTTCATTTTACTTGTAAATCAATTGACACATGCTACAGAGACTATCCTGTCTTTTCTCTGGGGTTGCTGTCAGCATATTTGTTAACTTGAGGATTTTATAATTGATGATTGATTAAAAAAAGACTGGTGGTTTGGAACTAGTGTTTTCACCCTGCCTGTTTTGTTATGATAGGAAGGAAAGTAATTTCCCCTTGGATTTAAACTTTTTCCATGGAAAACATTCTGAAAATGGGTAAAGTTTCCTTTATAAATCCATAGAGGTTCTGAGACTACTTTTCCCACCTCATTAATTTCAAGGATGTAAACACTTAGATGAAAGAAGGTGTTTACCAGTTCTCAATGATTCTGTTCAATAAACAGCAATAGGGCAAACAGGTCATTCAGAATTTGTGTTAATCATCCTCAAATGTGTTTTTTTATTCCAATGATTATAGCCAGTTGGAGTTTTCCATTCTTTTCAGCTCTTAGCTAACGTGTCTTTATAAAAACATTTTCCTATAATAACACAGTAACACTTAATATCAATATTAATATTACTGCTTTCATGAATAAAAGCACCAGAAATGGCATTACCCATCAGGTGAAATATGATCAGCACACAATCTTAAAGTGTATATAGCAATCACTTAAAAATATAATGTATATGTAAATGATTTTAAAATATAGATCCATAGGTAGATAGATACTAAGTGAATTTATAAATGTTGAAGGAGCTAAAGAGAAATGAACATTGGAAAGCTAAGTAGATATTGAATATTTAGCATTGATTTACGTTTCAAAAATCTACCTTTAAGTATGAATTACAAGCTACAGAATATATAAATCAAAGATAATTTCCTGGGTTAAAGATAAGTCATTTTTTGTATGGAGAGGGATAAATACCCTAATCATACCCTAATCTTAGCCTTAATCACTGTCTTTAAACATAATTACTATTCATAAAAACCCCAGTATCCTAAAAAGTCACCAAAAGGAAGAGAGAGGTTGCTGAAAAACTTCTTAACAATACTTCAAAAGTAAATAAAGTCACAAACCCCACATGTCATATGAAGAGTGTAGAAAGCCCTAGTCTGTACTCTAAATATGTAATTTAACACAATCATTAAGATAAATATTTTATTCCAAGGACACTAGAGAGTTAGATTGGAGGGCAAGGGGATTAAGTATCTTAAGTTTATTGTTTCCTGAGTGACCATTTTTAAAAGCCTCCATCTGGGAACTGTGGAATGCCTGCCAGGCTCCCTGACTGCTGTTTGGTGAGGGTCCCTTCTGGTGCTATGGACAGCATAACACACAATGGGGCACAAGAAAGCCTCGCATCCCCCCTCCCCCGAGATACACACTGCACCCCCTTGGCTCTGTTTGGAAGGTTCAGCTCTGCAAAAGTAAGGCTGCAAACATCAGACACCTTCCTCTCTCTGTTTCTGTCTCTCTGTCCCCTTCTTCCCACAGAGTCCAGCCTTGGCCACTGACGTTTCCTGGGTCGGGGAGGCCTGTGAGTTCAGAGGCTGAACACCTTGGGAAAGAACTCCCTTAGCTCAATGTGCTCTGGCCATAGGGAGCAGACAAGCAAGCTGAGTTTGGGTAGCCCTAGACACATGGAAAAAGAAACAGCTTCCTCACCTGCACCCGTCCATAGATGACTTCATTAAAATGTCACTGGTTCATAGGGAAAAGGTAACACTTCTTGTTAGGTCAAACCCCTAAAAGGCATGTTTTTAAGAAAACAAAAAATTTAAAAATCCCCAGCAGTCTTAATGATCACATTAAGACAGGTAGGAAGGTATACCTTTCAGACAAATGGATGATTTTGGAAGGCATGAACCTAAGCCGGCTCACATCGTTTTGCTTCTTAGTTGGACTGACTGGTTTAAAAAATGAAACCCAAATGGTAGCTGCAGAGTGGTATGGGTGGCATAGCATCTGATTCCATTGAGATAAAAGCTCTCAACAAACTGTGTGAACCGACACTGATAGAATGACTGAGGTTCCACAAGTGGTCAAGAGACCCCGGCATCAGACACTTAAGGAGGACTTTGCTTCTGCCCTGGACACCTGGCTTTAAAGTGAAAACTCTGGAGATGGAATGTAAATGAGCCCCACCCTGAGAAGCTATGGCTGCTCAGAAACACTTGTTTTTTTCACATGCCAAAGCTCCCTAATAAGCAGCAACGCTACCAGTAGCCTCCACCCACTGTGGTCAGCATTGCCCATCAGCCCTCTCAGGGCGGGGGTCCCAGCAATCAGCCTCTGAAGTGAGTCTGCAGGTTCTTCCCTTATCTTCACCCTGGCAGGAGTGGAAGCCCAGTCTTAGTGATCTGATATTTATCCAGTTGTGTCTCAGTTGTTTATTAATCATGGATCACTAGTTCTTCCATTTGAGGTAGGTCATATATCATTATCCTAGTTTGGAAGAGAGAGAGAAAAAGTATTAAATGGAAGAATTTGTCCGACACTACCAGGAAGCTGGTAAGAAGTTACAACCTCAAATACCATTCAGTTCTCCTTCCCGTTTTGTCTTTCTGTCAAAAGGGAAATCAGGGATCCTTAAACCTTTCCCTGAGCAGTTCTCTTTCGGCACTAAAATGCTTCAGGCCAAAAATATGCTGATTCTCTTAACTGGATCACTCTGTGACTGGGAGAGAGAGCGTTAAAACAATGAAATTAACTGGGCATGTGCTCACCTGAACAACTCAAACCCCAGTAAGTTGTTTGTAAAGTTTTTGTGAAGCCTAAACTAAGAACAGCACCTTCTCTCCTCTGGGTTTTTCCTGGAAAGATCTCATCATTTCATTTATAACAAATTTCAACCCTGGCCCCTTGACCAGGGAGGCCAGCTGCGGGTGAGCCGTCTGAAGGTGGCTGGCCTGCACTGCCTCCGAAGGTATTTCAGGAATGTTAATGGTATGCCTGAGTGGAGGCCTCAGAGCTCCGAGCTCAGGCCTGAGAACTGTTCTTGCGGCCATCTGTTGTGGCCCAGGAAGTCTCATAGCAACAGCTTCTCAAGAATGGTGCTTTTTTTTTTTTAATTAAAATTAACTCACACAAAACCAAAAAAACTGCTCCACTGCTCAAGAAGAATCAGGACAGCATTCAGATTCTTTCTACAGAGTGATGAGCTTTTAAGGAAGAAAAGCCCCCTCATCCTTCATTCCTGTTCTTTAAATGAGCAATTTGTACTTGGTGTTGAGGTCTTAATTTTTTTTTTTTCTCCCCTGGGGTAGAATTCTTTTTTTTTTTTTGGAAAAGAATGGAGGTGAAACAAGTTTCCACAGCTGTGGAGAAAATATTCGGCAAAAACATGGTTAAGAAAAAAGTGGTCAGAGTTTTGAGATTTTTCTGGTATCCCTTGCTCTTAGCGATCCTGTCAGCAGCTGCCTTTTTCCTCCTCTGTAATAATGTGAGCTTTCTATGCCTGGCTATTTGGTTAGTGAAATGAACTTCTGACAAAGAGACTAATTTTACTATGATGATGTATGCCCTCCGGTATGAATCTCTTGAATCTGTGCAACAGCAGACCTCAGAAAAAGAGGTAGGGAAAGTAATATTTGTAGTTCTATATATATTTTTTCATCGATGAGACAGTAAACTGTCATTTACAAAAACTGAGCCTTTTCCTCAGGACAGAAGACACTGTAAAATGATAGCTACATGAAGCCTGGGCAGGCGTGCCAGACAAAGACAAAAGTATTCTATTCTGCTCCGCATTGCACCCCTTACTGGGCTATTTCAGGAAGGCACACCACCTCTCAGGGCACAGTGCTTCATCTGCAAATTGGATTCTTGCATTGTTAGGGAGGTTAAATATATTCACCTAAAAGGAACCTGGGAAAAGAGCCTTGAATCTGAATGGAACCTATAAAGAAGTATTATATGCTGTCATTCTTGCTGTGGCACAACGCTGGGAGAACATTTTCATGAGAACTTTTAGATCTCCTTCATTTTTTAGTTTGGCACATTTCCCTCAAGTTTTGTGAAATAAAATTTCCCAATAGAGTTGCAAAATATTCCAAGTGATTTTTTTTTTTGAGACAGAGTTTCACTGTTGTTACCCAGACTGGAGTGCTATGGCATGATCTCGGCTCACTGCAACCTCCGCCTCCTGGGTTCAGGCAATTCTCCTGCCTCAGCCTCCCGAGTAGCTGGGACTACAGGTGCGCACCACCATGCCCAGCTAATTTTTGTATTTTTAGTAGAGACGGGGTTGCACCTTGTTGACCAGGATGGTCTCGATCTCTTGACCTCGTGATCCACCCGCCTCGGCCTCCCAAAGTGCTGGGATTATAGGCGTGAGCCACTGCACCTGGCCCATTCCAAGTGATTTTTGACTATCATTACCTAATTCCTGAATATGGAACACACTTGGAATACTTCCTTATATTCTTGATTGGTGGTATGTATTGCTACTTACACATTATTCAGATCTAATACATTGCCCCTAGTAATGGCGCCAACCTACCCAGAAAGGGATCTGTACTTCAAGACTGGTTTCTGAAACACAGGTTCCTAATGAAGTTTTTCTTTCTATAAAAGGCATGACTCTTACCCTTTTTGTGTGTATTGCCTCCCATATAAAATATAACCACCAAATATTTATGAAATGCCTACCATGTGTCAGTTGGGTTTCTAGGTACCAAGTTTGGAGCTATGAACAAAAGCAGATAAAAAATTCTGGCACACATTCTAGTCAAGTGGCACAGGTAACAAGTCAGATACCACAAAGATAAATCAATTGTATTATGGGCTAGAAAATTATAACTGCTGTGAAAAACACATAAAGCAGAGAAGTACATCATATAATGGCAGAGACGGTATTGTGGCTTTCTAGGGTGTGGTGGATGGACCTGCTAAGAAGGTGATATTTAAAAGAAAACGTGAAAGAAGGGAGAAAATGAGCCTTGAAGGTTACCTGGGGAGCACTGTAGACAGAGAGAAGAGCATGTGCAAAGGCCCTGGGGCAGACAAGTTTGGGAAAGAGCTGGGAGGCTAGTGTGGAACTTTCTTAGCTGATAGAATTGAATTAAATATTCTATCAGCTAAGAATTGAATGTGGCCGAATGTGGCAGGGGTAGAGAGTGGGTCACTGGGAGTGAAAACAGTTAGCTTTTACTCTGAATAAATCCTAAGAGAACTTGCTTCACAGAGCAGTTATGAGCATTAAATGAAATAATTTGTGTGAAGCCTTCCATAGAGTGCCTAGCATGCAGAAAATCTTCTGTGCTTGTTACCTGTCATTCATTCACTTATTTTTACCATTACCTAGGATTTTGTGAACACACAGCACAGAACTTTGTTCTGATCAAAGCTAATTGTTTCTTATGAGAATTAAACTCCCAAACTTGGCCTCTTAAATATTCAATTCTATCAGCTAAGAAAGTCCCAAGTCTATATCATCACATATACACAGAAAAAAACTTGCTTTTAAAAAACTGACTTTGATTAAGCTAAATCATTGTTTTCATTTTGAAAGTTCCAAGTCTATGCTCTTTAGGGACAGGTGTATTTTGAGACATTTGTTTCCAATTTCAGCTACAAAAGTCTTGTTGAATTCCACTGAATTCGCATGATATCACAATGTACTCATGTTTGGGTATTGATAATGATTTCCTTTGCTAGGCAGCAGAATTCCAGATGGGGAGGAGCATACTGGAGATATAATGAAAATAAGGAATCAATGTGCTTTTCTTCTCCCCAGAGTCCTGAGGCAAGATTACCTTTCAGGGCACTTCAGGGACCCTTTCTCAAAATGATCTTCCCAGACGCCTCTTTGAATGTCTAGATTCTGTTGATCTCCTCCTTTGACCTGAGGGACTTAGGTATTTACTCATGTCGAGTGATGACATGAGTCATCATGAGACATGAGACATGAGCTCAGGAAATTTGAAGAAGACAGGGAATCCTTTTCTCCAAGTATATGAAGACCATCATTAAGAGTCAGGGATATCCTTGCTCCAGAACCACAGTAAGTGAGTTGGGAGCAACAAAAGGAATTACTTGATGATAACTAGAGATGCTCAATGAATGAAAATATCTGTCTAAAAATGTGTACTTTCATTATTAGAAATGTTTCAGGAGAGGCTGATTAATCAATCAGTAGTCAGAGGGGTTTGAGTTTATCTACATGATCTCTGCTAGGATCCCAAATCCACCAGGGGTTATTTCTTAATAACAAGAATAACCCCTGGTGGATTTGGGATCCTAGCAGAGATCATGTAATTAATGACTCAGAAAGGTACCATGTTTTTACCACTTCAACCCAAACACAGTAAAGAACATGGATGATATAATTTTATTATTATACTTTAAGTTCTGGGGTACATGTGCAGAACATGCAGATTTGTTACTTAGCTATACAAGTGCCATGGTGGTTTGCTGAATCCATCACTCCATCATCTACATTAAGTATTTCTCCTAATGCTATCCCTCCCTTAGCCCCCGACCCTCTGACAGGCCCTGGTGTGTGATGTTCCCCTCCCTGTGGCCATGTGTTCTCATTGTTCAACTCCCACTTATGAGTGAGAACATGCGGTGTTTGGTTTTCTGTACTTGTGTCAGTTTGCTGAGAATGATAGTTTCCAGCTTCATCCGTGTCCCTGCAAAGGACATGAACTCATCCTTTTTTATGGCTGCATAGTATTCCATGGTGCATGTGTGCCACATTGTCTTTATCCAGTCTATCATTTGTGGACATTTGGGTTAGTTCCAAGTCTTTGCTATTGTGAACAGTGCCGCAATAAACATGGGTGTGTGTCTTTATAATAGAATGGCTTATAATTCTTTGGGTATATACCCAGTAATGGGATTGCTGGGTCAAATGGAATTTCTAGTTCTACATCCTTGAGGAAGCGCCACACTGTCTTCCACAATGTTGAACTAATTTACACTCCCACCAACAGTGTAAAAGTGTTCGTATTTCTCCACAATGAATGATATAATTTAATATAGATCTGAAGGAATGATAAAACTACCCACAATGACTGGCCCTATTATTTATTCAGTTGGTCAAGTTCTAATCTTTTGGCTTCATGACTTCTGCTATTTTTTATGACATATGTTGTGTATTTTTAGTTGTCAAATTAGTAATCTTTACAGCATTCCTCTAATTATTAAACATGTAAACTTTAAAAAAAAATTGGGGGGAGAGCTTGACTTCTAAAATCCCTTCCAAATTTGTGTTTCTGCTTCCTTCCAAGATATGCTTATTAAAAACCCAATCTTAAGGAAACATCACCTTAAGTTCTTTTTAACTGACACCTTAGTTTGGGAATTCTGAGAGCCAGAGCAACTGATTGTGGAAGCCCTGTTTCACTTGGAGGCGGTAGCTAGGGCAGTCATCTTCTTGCAGTGTCACCATGGTCCCCAGCACTGATGATGCTCTGTGCCTGTGTGCAGTTTCTGGTGCTGTCACATCACTACTGCTGGCTGCCAGGTTGCTCAGTTAAGGTCAGTGGATAGAGTGGACTGAAGCTCTTTATTCTTTGGGAAAAACATTTCTATAGTACTTATTACATTTTCAGTGATTTGCAAAAATCCTATCTCTCTTAACCCAATGACAGAGCTACAGTTTTTGTCCCCATTTAACAGGTTAAACAACTGAGATACAATCCAAAGTCACACAGTGACAGGGACTTGAACCCAGGTCATCTGTCAACAGAGTCTGTGCTCTTAGCTGCTACATTGGATTTCTCATCCACAAATATCTAATCCTACGTGCTCTTTTTATTTGTTGTAGCTCTGCTGTTGATTTAGAGGGAAAACTGATATGGCATATTATTACACTTTATTGCCCTATGTGAGGGCAGAGAACATAACCTATTGATACCAGTGCCTAGTGTAGTGCCTGGTGCATGCAGATACTCAAATATTTGTTGGCTGAATGAGGGAGTGAGGGTGTGACATGAATAAACAATAGTAAGGCCATAGAAATGCCTTCCTAGTCTCAAGAGTCACAACGATACTTGTAATCGCAGGATGCTACTTACATAAAAACTTTTACTTTGAAAAGTTAAAAAACATAAAATCAGAGGTGAGGACATCATGGGACAAGCACAGTGTTTGAATTACAATGCCAACAATTTCACCCCTTATTAGGTACTCATTCATAGTTTAATTAATAAATCACATTGTATTGGAAGTGTAGCTCCACAGGACCCTGATGTCAGACTAACACCTGCTATGTGACAATTGGGAAGGGAACAGGGAACCATTGGAATGCCATGAATTCCACTAAATTGGGGCTTTATGTTTGATTTGGATTTGTTGCATTTAACAAATAGACATTGAGATTCACAGATTTGTTACAAGCAGAGAAAGCAAGCCCAAATCTTGCCAATGCCAGTGTCTGAGAGAACATTTGGGTGCAGTGAACATAAACCCACCCAGACCAACTCAAATAAAAAGAGGCTTCTTTGAAAGATATGAAGGAAGCTTGTGAAATCCAACTATAGGAAGCCAGGAATACCTCAACGTTAACCTAGTGGTTAAAAGCTCTTGGAGGCAGAAGGCCTGTGTGGGAGTTCCAACCTTGGCACTGCTGAATTTGTGACCTTGGATAAGTTACTTAATGTTTCTGGACCTCATTTACTCATCTAAAAAGTAGGGAATAATCAGTTTCTACCTTGTTGGGTTGTTGTGTAGATTAAGTGAGATAATATATATTAAGCACTTGGAACACTGCCTGACATGTAATAGGAACTCAATAACCATTAAGTCTTATTATTATTTAGAAAGTAGGTAGCTATTCACTTTCTTTTTGGACTGTATAGTTGCTCATTTCAGCTGACTTTGAACCTCAGTTCCATTGCTCTGTCTACAGACTGGCTTCCTGAAAGACATGGTGTCAGGGTTAATTTAATGTCATAGTGATGTCATCAAAGCTCCAGGTTTGTCTGTATTTTCATTCTACCACCTTTAGCATGATGATTTTCTTCCTTAGGTTTGTTCCTCATGGTTGCAAGATGGTTGCTGCGGCTCCAGGCATCACATCCTCACAGATCTGTGTCCAAAGAAGGAAAGGAGTTCTAGTTTCGTGTATTTCATCAAGAATGATAAATACTTTTTCAAAAATCGTCCTGCAAACTCTCTTTTTTTGGGGGGTCAGATCTCATTAGCTAGGCTATGTCCTATATCCTTGCCTACACTAACTAGTAACTGGCAGGGAGTCAGATTACCATGAATGATATAGATTAGGCAGGGTTAATCCCTTAGGGTGATGAAGGAGCTGCTTTCTGAGCACATCATTATCTGATGGTGTAATAGAATCAAAATTATACTTGTGGAGTAAAACAGGGGTTGGTGACCATTGAATAAACAATTATGAGGGCCTGTCTTAGATGAGCAAGTGTCTAAGCCAGGCGAATCAGAGGATTTCTTTGGAATTTTATGTTTTCATGCACGGAGTCTAAGAGGAGGCAGCAGTCTCTTTTGCAGTTGTTCATCTGGGATAAGGTAAACCTGAAGTTCTCTGCTCTGTGGTTGTCTTCTGTGTACTTTGCCCCCACATGCACACACACTGAATCCTGTTGGTGTACATGAAAGTGAGGTCTTTTTCTCACCTTGCTCTCTATGTTTATACTGTCATGCCCCACATAATAACATTTGGGTCAACAACAGACCCCATGCGTGACAGTGGTTCCGTAAACTGATAACGGAGCATATACAGAAACGTGATACACAGCACTTGCTATTGGCCCTGCAGATCAAGTAGGGGAAATGTTTGATCTTCAGTAATGTGCTGGGACGGTTGTTTTGTCGTATAAAATATAGCCAGGTGTGGTGGCTTGTGCCTATGATCTCAGCTACTTGGGAGTTAGAGGCAAAAGGATTGCTTGAGCCTGGGAGGTAGAGGCTGCAGTGAGCTGTGATCACACCACTATATTCCAGCCTGAGCAACAGAGCAAGACCCTGTCTCTAAGAAGAAAAGCGAAAGGTGTTGTATATAACATCTAGGTTTGTGTACATACTGTCTCTGATGTTTTTGCGATGAAATTGCCTAATCCAGGCTGGGTGCGGTGGCTCAAGCCTGTAATCCCAGCACTTTGGGAGGCCGAGGCGGGTGGATCATAAGGTCAAGAGATCAAGACCATCTTGGTCAACATGGTGAAACCCCATCTCTACTAAAAATACAAAAAAAAAAAAAAATCAGCTGGGCATGGTGGCGCGTGCCTGTAATCCAGCTACTCAGGAGGCTGAGGCAGGAGAATTGCCTGAACCCAGGAGGCGGAGGTTGCAGTGAGCCAAGATTGCACCATTGCACTCCAGCCCGGGTAACAAGAGCAAAGCTCCGTCTCAAAAAAAAGAAATTGCCTAATCTTGTCACGTATTCCCATCGTTCAGCAATGCATGACTGTGTCTAGATGTATAGGTAGGTAGATAGGCACAGACACACAGACACACACACACACACAGACACACACTCTCCAGTGGATGCTGTCTCTCTCAAGGGATAACCTGACAATAATTTCCAGTCCCTGAGGCCATCTCCATCCCTGGCCTTCTCAAGAAATTCCCATTTTTGCTTGAATTTCTCTGTTGGTGTCACTTCATCATTTGCAACAACAGGAACACAATCCCATCAGAACCATTCTAAGCTTCTGGGATTCTGTCCCTCACATCTGCTAGTGTGTGGACCTGGCTCACCCCAGTGCCATCACTGGGCTCTACCCCAGGTGCCCCACAGCTCTAGAGCCTTACCACCTGATAAACTCAGCCTTGCCCAGCACCAGGTTGCACCAGCAGCAATGCGAACAGCTCCGCCTATAGCTGAGCAAGAGCAGGTTCAGCCTCACCACTTCAATGGGACCTTGTTGGGGATCATGTCCTCCTAGAATAGATGAGAACGGGGAGACAGTAACCTCTGTCTCTGATAAAGGTGTAATATCTGCCCAGTCTTTCCTAAAGTGACTCAACGAAAGAGACCACCCGATCGACAAGTACATTTTCATAAATAAAATGACTTGATTTCAGATATACAAGTGCCTTTGTTTGACAGGGAGTTTAAATCTGGTGGCTGTATTCCTTTTGGCCTGACTTAAATAGGCAAAGAGAGTTGTGGATTCCTATCAGTGGGGAATCAGTAAAGGATTCGAGAAGGAAGTGACTAGGAGAGCAGAGCGAAGTCATAAACAAAATCAGTGTGGCCATGAGGGGAAGGCCAACTGGATTAATGAGAAAAATCCCATGGAAGGTGGAAATATAAGACATGGAGACTCATTCAGGAAGTATAGATAGTTTTTTTCATATTTATTTTTCCTATTTTGTCATGCAAATGGTATAAACATTTGTGAAACTAGAGAGTCATACAAATTCCCATGCACGCACCATCCAGCTGAATGGCTCTTGTTAAGTAGAACAAGACAAGGAGAAGATGAAAGAAAGGAGCAGGACCCAGTGAAGGACAAAATGTTCCATGACAGATCCATGAGTGAACTTGTCAAGAAGGAACAGGAAGCTGAAATCCAAGATGTTTATTCTTCTAAATCATAGGTTAATGAAATAATTGATAAATGAGATCTGGCTTCTAGTTATTTGAGTAGGGATTATGTACTTTGAGGAAGCAGATCCCCTGTTACGTAATCTCCCAATTGCTGTTGTGGGGGGACCAAAAGGCCCCCATCTAACAAGGTGACAAGGCTCAGACAGCAAGAGGCAGCATTTGTTTGTTTGGCATTTAGCAACTTCTTATCTACAGTCTCCCAGGCACTGCTCTAGGCTTTGCGGACATGCAATTCTGAAGGACTGGGTTCTTGCTTTCTGAGAATGCAGCACCTACTGGTGAAAATAGATGAGAAAAATGTATGCTTATAGCAGGCATGCTGTAATGAAGTTTTTCTGGTAACATAGAAAAGATGAAAGCTGCTGGGCGCAGTGGCTCACGCCTATAATCCCAGCACTTTGGGAGGCCGAGGCGGGTGGATCATGAGGTCAAGAGATCGAGACTATCCTGGTCAACATGGTGAAACCCTATCTCTACTAAAAATACAAAAATTAGCTGGGCATGGTGGCGCACACCTGTAGTCCCAGCTACTCGGGAGGTTGAGGCAGGAGAATTGTTTGAACCCAGGAGGCGGAGGTTGCAGTGAGCCAAGATCGCGCCATTGCACTCCAGCCTGGGTAACAAGAGCGAAACTCCATCTCAAAAAAAAAAAAAAGAAAGAAAAGATGAAAGCTTCTTGTAGGAGGATGATTGTCTTGATCTTTGGAAGGATGAACAGGTGTTAGGTAAATGGATTTAGTGAGCAAAGGTGTTCTAGCTAGACAAAGTAAATTATGCAAAGGGAGAGAGGTACCCAAAGAGAACCTTAGCCAGGGCTGCAGGGTTGATGGCACACTTGTGACCTACTAAAAGACAAGGTGGGGATGAGGTAGGGGTGGCCAGGAAGTGGGAAGCAGGGGCTAAAATTCAGCCTGGGCTTTGCCCCCTGGTGCAGCTGTATCCACCTGGAGAAAGAGATGGCGTTTTCTGGTTTGACAAGGGGCCACATTGGGGGTAGCCCTGTCTGAGCGTATTTGGTATTCTTTGACTAAAGAGTGTGTGCGAGGATGCTCATGAGTTTGAACAGAACCCAGAAAGGTGGTGAGGCATTAATAAATAATTAAAAGGCAGAGTAGTGACAAAATCAGACCTGCGCTTGCAAAAGACCATTCTTGCTGCATTTTGGGAGCTGGTTTTAAAGATGTTAAGTCTGAAGCAAAAGAAACCAGTGAGGAAAGGCTGGTTCAGGTGAAAAATAATGGGGGCCTGAATGGCAGCTGTGGGAGGGGAAGGAAAGGAAGTGGTGCATTGAATATCCAGAAGGTACAGCAGGCAGACTTGGTGATCGGCTGGCTCCTTGGGTGCAGGGGAGCAAGGTGAGGAGGATGACTCCCAGGGTTTCAGCTTCAGCAGGCTCAGTGGAAGGTGATCACATTCCAGCAAAGATCAATAAACCCAAGAACTTTGCCGCAGTGTGTGCTGAGGTGTTACCTGTTGAATAATAACAATAAAAGAGTTCTTTATATTAGCATGGTGGTTAAAGATTAAAAGGAAGGCTTTAGTATTACCTTTTGAAACAGAGGAAAAACACCTTGATCTTGGGTTGTGTCCCTTCAGAGAATGAGCAATTGATATGAAAGAAAACTGTAGGGTCTCTTGCATTGCCATTCCATTCAAGTACAGCAAAATCCCCCTTAGTGGATAAACTGGCCATTCAAGATAGGTCAGAGAGTAATGACCAGCTGCAGAAAGTGAGTTCATCTCCTTTCTTTGTTTCAAGATGAAAATAATATAAATCTAGGATATCTCAAATCCTTTCCCATTGCTTTTGGAGAAAGCAGGTTTGGTTTTGTTTCTGGTGGTGGACATGTCAGCAGCATTCTTTCCATCTCCCTGTGGTTGTCGTGATGGTGTCCTAGCACAGGCTTTGAAGTTGAATGGTCCTGAGTTTGAATTCCTAGTTCATCACCGTCTGTCACTTTGGGCAGAATACTTATCTCTGTGAACATCATCTGTAAAATGTAGGGAAATATGGTTTCCTCATGGAGCTGTTATGTGGGTTAAGGGACAAGGAAAGGGGGTCCTTGGCACAGGACCTGTAGCACATGCTGGTCACAAGTGGTGGTGCTATTGTACTTGTTAATGCCGGTGTTCAGATATCAAGAAAGGATATAACACCTGGAATCTAGCACTTTAGGAGGCTGAGGCGGGAGGATCACTTGAGCCCAGGACAATGTAGTGGACCCTGTCTCTACAAAAAACATTGTTTTTAAAAATTAGCCAGATGTGGTGGCACATGCCTGTAGTCCCAGCTACTCAGGAGGCTGAAGCGGGAAGATGGCTTGAGCCCAGGAGGTCAAGGCTGCAGTGAGCCATGAACATGCCACTGTATTTGGTCTAAAGGAAAAAAAAGACTTGCTTTTGCAGCCTTTGATTATTTTATGGGCTTGCATCTATTAGATGCTGACCATATATTATGTTGTCTTCTTTATGGGTTAACCTGAGAACAAAGAGTTCCATGCCACGTGAGTCAAAGAGCAGGTTATATACATGGCTTGCTCCTTCCGGATGTGTCTTGAGGTACTGTGCTTGTGACAGAGAAGCATACCGTTAGACTGTAGAAATCACTGGAAAGAAAACAGAAAACTGGTACTTTCGGCTTTCACATGATCAAGGTGTTTTCCTAGGATAGAGTAGGCCACTGAAGCTACATGATATTACATTAATAATTCAACAAAGCACATTGATTAACTACCGCCCACGACTTCAGCAGCTAATAGCACTAAAGAAAATGGACTTCAATTTTCTTATCAAGAAATGGTCTTGATAAGACACCAAGTGACTATAACTTTGGTCATCGCTCTGGAATGTCTCTGTTGGTGCTGCCAGTTTTCATTGCCCATAGGTGCAATGTGGAAATTTTTATAAATGCTCCCATTTAATGCTTTTACAAATTAACAACATTTTTATACGGTATTGTAACTGAAAACGAACAAGTATTCTTCTTATCTCACCTGTAGAAAAGGGAGTGGTGAGAATTCGGGAGTTAATATTGTAAAAACAATAAGAAATACATGTTTAAGTATTACTGGTTTTGATTGGCACTGAATCCTCATGAAGCATCCATGAGAATCAAACAGAACCAGGGACTAGGAAAAGTGGAAAGTCTGTGTTCTTGTATTACCCTAAAATCTATTAGGTTCGTGCAAAAGTAATCATGATTTTTGCAATTACTTTAATGGCAAAAACCACGATTACTTTTGCACCAACCCACGCCTTTGAGAAGGAAGAGAAGTTTTCAGCGTGTTTAAAATTAGCCATCCGTAGTTTGTTGTAAAAGGGAAAGAAAATTAGGTGACAGTTAAAAATTTAAATCAGTGGTTCTCAGCTAGAGGCGATTTCCCTCCAAGGGACATTTAGCAAAACCTGGAGAGATTTGGTAGTCACAACTGTGTGTGATGTGGGAAGGGGGTTGTGCTATTGGCATCTAGTAGGTAGAGGTCAGGGATGCTGCCCACATCCTGCAATGCACAGGAAAGGCCCCCCCAATAGAGAATTACCTGATCTGGTCCCAAATGTCAGTAGTGCCAAGGCTGAGAAACACTGAGTTAAGTTAACAGCTGCTGGGAGCTTCCAGCATGGGACTGTCTCTTTCAGCAAGGAATTAGCCATCCTGTTAATTGAAATTATTTTCCTTAGGTTATGTAGGGAAAATATACTCCTCTACTTTCTTTCTTTCTATTTATTTATTTATTTTTAAGATGGAGTCTCGTGCCTCTCTACTATTTATTTATTTATTTATTTATTTATTTATTTATTTATTTATTTTTGAGACAGAGTCTTGCTCTGTCACCCAGGCTGGAGTACAATGGTGCAATCTCTGCTCACTGCAACCTCCACCTCCCAGCTTCAAGGGGTTATCCTGTCTCAGCCTCTCGAGTAGTTGGGACTACAGGTGCACTACCACGCCCAGCTAATTTTTTTGTATTTTAGTAGAGACGGGATTTCACTGTGTTGGCCATGCTGGTCTCCTCAGGTGATCCACCCACCTTGGCCTCCCAAAGTGCTGGAATTATAGGCGTGAGCCACCGTGCCTGGGCTTACCCCACTACTTCTTACAGGTTTAGTTTAGACTAGATATCTTCTTTATACAGAGCTCTCAAATTATCAGACAATTCAGTTCCCAAAGTCTTCAGGCCAGGTACTTGATAGATTGTGGGTGCAAAACAACAAGCAGGTTGGCTCAAGGGTTCACTTCTCAGCTGGTTGAGTCAGACTCTGTGGGGACACAGCTGTTTTGTGGTGATAAAGAGAGCAGAATAAAGAACTTGGTTGAGGAAATGCCTTCACATTTCAACACTCCTCTTCAAGGAAAGGGAAAGTTGGCTTTTCAAATTCTTGCTAAGTGTGAAGCCATCCAGGAGCAATTACAGAATCTGTTTTCCTTGACTTAGTTCATGAACTATTTATTGAGCACTTACCGTCCCAATCCCTGTGATAAGTACTGCTCCTGATACAAAGAAAACTCAAATGATTTTAAGACTAACTAAAAAAAAATTATAGGGCTGGGCATGGTGGCTCAGGCCTGTAATCCCAGCACTTTGGGAGGCCGAGGCAGATGGATCACAAGGTCAAGAGATCAAGACCATCCTGGTCAACATGGTGAAACCCCGTCTCTACTAAAAATACAAAATATTAGCTGGGCATGGTGGCGCGTGCCTGTAATCCCAGCTACTCAGGAGGCTGAGGCAGGAGAATTGCCTGAACCCAGGAGGCGGAGGTTGCGGTGAGCCGAGATTGCGCCATTGCACTCCAGCCTGGGTAACAAGATTGCACTCCAGCCTGGGTAACAAGAGCGAAACTCCGTCTCAAAAAAAAAAAAAAAAAAAAAAAAAATAGCCATTTTGTGAAGAGAGGAAGATTGAGCGGTTGTGGCCGTGTTGCCGACCTCGAGCAGCAGGCGGCTTCTCCGTGTAGAACCCGGGAGTAGGAGACTCAGAATCGAATCTCTTCTCCCTCCTCCCTCCTGTGAGAGTATTTTGATCTTCAGCTACATTTTCGACGTTGTGAGAAACCTTATCATCAAACACAATGGCCAGCAACGTTACCAACAAGACAGATCCTCGCTCCATGAACTCCTGTGTGTTCATTGGGAATCTCAACACTCTTATGGTCAAGAAATCTCAGGGGGAGGCAACCTTTTCCAAGTAAGGCAAAATGGTGGGCTGCTCTGTTCATAAGCGCTTTGCCTTTGTTCTATATATTAATGAGAGAAATGCCCAGCCTGCTGCAGCAGGAGAGGATGGCTGAATCATTGCTGGCCAGGTTTTAGATATTAACCTGGCTGCAGAGCCAGAAGTAAACCGAGGAAAAGCAGGTGTGAAACGATCTGCAGTGGAGATGTATGGCTCCTCTTTTGACTTGGACTATGACTTTCAAAGGGATTATTATGATAGGACGTACAGTTACCCAGCACGTGTACCTCCTCCTCCTATTGCTCGGGATGTAGTGCCCTCGAAATGTCAGCGTGTATCAGGAAACACCTCGCGAAGGGGCAAAAGTGGCTTTGATTCTAAGAGTGGACAGCAGGGATCTTCCAAATCTGGAAAGTTGAAAGATGACCTTCAGGCCATTAAGAAGGAGCTGTCCTAGATCAAACAAAAAGCGGATTCTCTCCTGGAAAACCTGGAAAAAACTGAAAAGGAACAGAGCAAACAAGCAGTAGAGATGAAGAATGATAAGTCAGAAGAGGAGCAGAGCAGCAGCTCCGTCAAGAAAGATGAGACTAACGTGAAGATGGAGTCTGAGGGGGGTGCAGATGACTCTGCTGGGGAGGAGACCTACTGGATGATGATGGTAGTGATGACCAGCTGGAGTTGATCAAGGATGATGAAAAGGAGGCTGAGGAAGGAGAGGATGACAGAGACAGTGCCAATGGTCAGCATGACTCTTAGGCACATAGTGGGGTTTAGAAATCTTATCTCTTTATTTCTTTACCTAGGCGCTTGTCTAAGATCAAATTTTTCACCAGATCCTCTCCCCTAGTATCTTCAGCACATGCTCACTGCCCTCCCCATCCTTGTCCTTCCCATATTCATTAATTCATATTTCCCTGTGCCTAGTCCCATTTTCACTCCCTTTGATGCTCCTAGTAGTTTTTTGTTGTCTTACCATGTAATTTTTGCTTTTAATTTTGATACCTCTTTATGACTTAACAATAAAAACGATGTATGGTTTTTATCAACTGTCTCCAAAATAGTCTCTGGTTATGAAGGGAGTACAGTTCTTTTCATTCATACATGAGTTCAGTAGTTGCTTCCCTGACTGCAAAGGCAGTTGAGTAGCTCCTGAAAGCAGCTTTGAGTTAGACGTGTGTGTGTTACACCCCACATTAGTGTGCCGTGTGGGGCAGTTCAACACAAATGTAATGACATATTTTTGTGAATGAGAGTTGGCATGTCAAATGCATCCTCTAGAAAAATGACTAGTGTTACAGTCTTAAGATTTGTTTTCTGCCGGGCGCGGTGGCTCATGCCTGTAATCCTAGCACTGGGAGGCCGAGGCGGGTGGATCACGAGGTCAAGAGATCGAGATCATCCTGGTCAACATGGTGAAACCCCATCTCTACTAAAAATACAAAAAATTAGCTGGGCATGGTGGTGCGTGTCTGTAATCCCATCTACTCAGGAGGCTGAGGCAGGAGAATTGCCTGAACCCAGGAGGTGGAAGTTGCAGTGAGTCTGGGTAACAAGAGCGAAACTCCGTCTCAAAAAAAAAAAGATTTGTTTTCTAAAGTTGATACTGTGGGTTATTTTTGAGAACAGCCTGATGTTTGTAACCTTTTTTCCTCAAAATAAACAAGTCCTTATTAAACCAGGAAAAAAAAAATGACAAAGTCCTGTAGGTCATCCCTTTATCTCAGAAAAAAAGAAATGTTGGACAAAGGATCTCTCTCCTAGATTTTATGTTAGCTGTATCTTACAATGTATAAAGTTAAATCCACATTCTATGCATGTAATTGTCTATTGAAAGCTGTAAAAATATACAAATTTCTAATACATGACTCAGTCATATGCTAATTTTCTTGATTTTTTTTCCTTTAGAATGCTTTTGCTTTATCTTTGAAAGATGACCCAGTTCTCAGGCTTACTATTGGAGATACATTGATATATAGTAGGCAAAATTAAATTTAATTACAATACATAAACTTGATCATATGAGAAAGGTTTTAAATTGGACCTCTCTTGGTCCAGCCTATAGGAAAACAAATTACTTTTCATTATGTGAATGCATCTCCAGACACTTCAGTAGAACTTACTGTACAAATACGACAGAAGAGGTAGGAAGGTGGACCCTGGAGCCAGACTACCTGGATTAAAATCCTGCCTCTGCCACTGATACTCTGTGACTGTGCAACCTTAGATCACTTCCCTCCTGGTGCCTCAGCGTCCTTTTCTTCAAATTGAGGATAACAGTCATAGTATTTTCCTTAGAAAGTGATTACAAGAACTGAATGAGCTAATGCATGTAAATAGCACATAGTAAATGCTCAGTATACATTATTTTTATTGTCATTATTGTTGTGTTTTATTTTATTTTTCTATATTTGTACTAAAGATGCATTGATGGATGGAGCCGTTGCAGCTTGCCTAAGTGCAATGTGGTATAAAGTCTCCTTATTTTGATTCCACGTGTTCCTTGAAATAGTTATCTTTTAAAAACACATATTTGGCCGGGTGCAGTGACATATACCTGTAATCCCAGAACTCTGGGAGGCTGATGCAGGCAAATCACGAGGTCAGGAGAGCAAAACCATTCTGGCTAACATGGTGAAAGCCTGTCTCTACTAAAAATACAAAAAATTAGCTGGGCATGGTGGCAGGTGCCTGTAGTCCCAGCTACTCAGGAGGGTGAGGCAGGAGAATCACTTGAACCCGGGAGGCAGAGGTTGCAGTGAGCTGAGATGTGCCACTGCACTCCAGCCTGGGTGACAGAGCAAGACACACAAAAAAACTGGACAAAACAAAACAAAAAAACCATACTTTGGAACAGGACATTTATTGACTGATTTATGAGCAAAGCCTCTGACTTTCTGTGCAGTATCACCACATGAAGTAATGGAATAACACCAACATCTTGTATTCTTAAGCCTCTAGAGCATCTCAGTCTTCAGGCAGCAGAGGAGGGCATTTGTTAGAATTGGAGCCTCTAGCTGCCTTGGAAGAGGATGCTTTCAACTCGTTTAGCCTGTTGTAATACTTGCGGGGGGTACTGGTTGATTGCGCTTTAAATCTGTTGATATCAAATATGGGCTGGCTATATTTATGCCGAGTTGTTGAGATATTATGTAATATTTATTGTTCCTAAAGCAGGATAGGATGAAAATGCTATACACAAACAGGTTTCTAGAGCATGTCTCACTTGCTCTCCTCCATACAGACACATGATTGCTTTTGAGCTTAACTACATTTCTTATGGTATCTAAGTTGCCTGTGTTATTCTGGTGAGCAAAGGTGTTTGATCAAAGTGATCTCCTGAAAGTTTGAATTTCCTCGTTAAAATGTTCAGATGGGAACTATTCACCTAAAGAATACCATAAAGATATTAGAAAACATTGCTTTTTTTTGTTGTTATTTTGTTTGTTTATTATGAGATGGAGTCTTGCTCTGTCACCCAGGCTGGAGTGCAATCGCATGATCTTGGCTCACTGCAACCTCCACCTGGGTTCAAGCAATTCTCCTGGCTCAGACTCCTGAGTAGCTGGGACTACAGGTGCATGCCACCACACACAGCTAAATTTTTTTGTATTTTTAGTAGAGACCGGGTTTCACCTGTTAGCCAGGATGGTGTCGATCTCCTGATGTCACCATCCGCCCACCTCAGCCTCCCAAAGTGCTGGGATTACAGGTGTGAGTCACTGCACCCAGCCAGAAATCATTGTTTTTTAAGCATTGATGCTGGTAATTGTTAGTGTCTGAAACTTTTGAAATCAAAAGGATGCTGAAACACTAAAACAGTAAGTTTTATAAGACAAAAGTAACCTTGCGTTCAAAATAAGAGGTCTAGGAATTATATTCTATTGATTTCAGATTGAATTTGTAGTAAATAAATAATTACCTCTATATAAGGCTAAGAATTTACTCATCTATAAAACCAAAAAGGTGAACTCGTTAATCTCTAGGGTACATTTTGTCTCTAAAATTTCAAAAATCCATCTAATATGTTTCCCTGGATTGAATTCCTCAAGGGTCAAGGTGCATGCACCTTTGACAGAGTGCTGAACGAAGCATTACTAATAACCATTAAACTGATATGGATTTAAATGCCTCTTCTACAGCTCAAATGTAGGCTTGAAAAGTAATGTCCCCATGGTGGTAAAAGCGTCAGTATGAGTGTATGTGTGGAAAGATTTGTTGTAGGAAGATCAGTCAGCCCTATTTCATGATGACTTCAATGGTGTGGGCGCAGCAGTGGAGCCACGGCCTTGATGGCATCATCAGAGTGAATTTTAATTAAAAACGAGTGGAGAAATCGACAGCCAGGATTTACCCAGGAAATAACTAAATGACATACAGCTCAGAAGAGATATTTTGAGGCACAATTTTATTGCATTCTAGTGGGAGAGAATAGTTCTCCTTATAAAAATTCTAAGAAAAGTTGGAAAAATAATGAGCACCATAAATTAGATTTGAATTTGGCATGCACTGTAGCTGCAACACATCCCATTCTGTGTCCCCTTAAACTGTTGGAGAGCAGGCAGGTATAACTCATCCCTGTAACTTGGGTAAGCAGAAATTAAAATAATTTTATTTAAGAAACAAATAGCAAAAAGAGGAAACTATAAAGAAGAACTGTGCAACTCAGCTAAGTGACAACAAAGGGAAAAAACCTAATGAAGTTGCTGAAGAGGGGGAAATACTTTTTTAGTGGCGTAAATCTCAGGACCAAACAACAACAACAAAATGACAAGATGTATGCTTTTAAATAGATGAAAAAAAATCCTTGTTTTCTAAAATGTGACTTTAAAGACACTTGGTAGAAATTCTAATAGCTACAGTTCAATTTCTTTCTATAATAACACTTTTGATACAGAATCACTATCATATCATAGTTCCAAAAATGTATTAAAGGCACAATATTACATATTTTAAACAAACAAATATTTTTAAGTATCCTACTGACTGCTGCTTACCAGTGTGATGCACATTAACTACTATGAATGTCAGCTTTCGTGTCTGTAAAATGGGAGTAAAGGCTGGATGCGGTGGCTAACACCTGTAATCACACTTTGGGAGGGGGGCGGATCATTTGAGGTCAGGAGTTTGAGACCAGCCTGACCAACATGGTGAAACCCCCATCTCTGCCAAAATACAAAAATTAGCCAGGCCTGGTGGCAGGCGCCTGTAATCTCAGCTGCTTGGGAGGCTGAGGCAGGACAATCACTTGAACCCAGGAGACGGAGGTTGCAGTGAGCCAAGATCGTGCCACTGTACTCCAGCCTGGGCAACAGAGTGAAACTCCCTCTCAAAAATTAAATAATAAATAAAATGGGAGTAAAAACCTTTATCTCCAGAGTTCCTGGGAGTATAAATGACATGCATTTTCATTAAATTGCATACGTAGAATTTAGTGGGTAGCTGGCAGGAGTCCAAAAAATGCCGTAGCAGCTTGCATGTAGTGGTCTTGGTATGCTAAACTCTTGACTCTGACAGTTTGCCTATTTTTTACCAAATCAGCTTACTGAACCTCAATTCAAAATCTTCAAAAATGGCAGGAAAACTGTGTGTGTGTGTGTGTGTGTGTGTGTGTGTGTGTGTGTGTTTATATGTATGTGTGTATGAGAAACATTTGAGATTTGCAGTGTGCTCAGGAATATAAAGCATTCTGGGAAAAAGATGTCATTCAAATGCAAATGAATACTGGTCATTTCCTCCAGTTTTATTGACTAAAAGTATCAGTTGCAACATCTCAAAATCTAATCTATTTCTGTTTTATGGAATTAAAGCTTGATTTAACGCATGTCTTGTGGTCCTTCTGGGTCTAGGAGATGAACAGACCAAAGTGGAAATAAACAAAGCCGGGAATCTTAAGCTAGAGTGTTGAGACCTATTCACTCCCACACCCGGAGGAATTTATGACCAGTAAGTTGCTCTCTAATGAGCACAGAACAAGAGCATTGCATCTTCTCTTAATTAGTTTGACAGATATTCATTTAAATTTGAAAAGATTCCCAGACTTGGGATAGCAAAGGAAAGTCTTGAATTTCTTTTGCATCTTAATTCTGTTTTTGTTGTGGTGTCTCTGGGGAATGTCAATATCTGAAGACAAATAAAAACTCATGTCTTCATCCTGGGACCTCCACATTTTCTATTTATTATTGGCCACAAACCACCAGGTTTCAGTTTGCAGCTGTAAAGTCGAACACAAAAGCAACAGGTTCTGCAATAATGCTGTTGGGCCTGGTTTCTAAGAGGGGTGGATTTTTTTTTTCTCTTGGTTAATAAAGGACAGAGTTTCAAGGCAAGCTTTAAATAGCCATCTTTACATCAGAATAAGTCACTTCGTGGGCATCATGAAACTATGAATTGTTTTTACCCATAGGGCATAGTTACCACCAGCCCTTGGTAATCCATGGAAATGAGTAATTGGGAGACCTTATATACTCCCAAGCCCCACCCCCACCCCCATTCTTTTTTTTTTTTTTTGGAGACATAGCTTCGCTTTTGTTGCCCAGGCTGGAGTGCAATGGTGCGATGTCAGCTCACTGCAACCTCTGCCTCCCAGGTGCAAGCAATTCTCCTGCCTCAGCCTCCCAAATAGCTGGGATTACAGGCATGCACCACCACGTCGGCCTAATTTTTGTAGTTTTTTAGTAGAGACGGGGCTTCACCATGTTGGCCAGGCTGGTCTTGAACCCCTGACCTCAGGTGATCCACCTACCTCGGCCTCCCAAACAGCTGGGACTACAGGAGACAGCCACTGCACCAGGCCCCTCTAGGCAGTTCTAAGGCTTGCTCAAATTTGAGAAATACTAATGTAGCATAAGTGTTTAATAAATGGTGGCTGATATCAGCCAGGTGTTTAATAAATGGTGGCTCACACCTGTAATCCCAACACTTTGGGAGGCCGAGATGGGCAGATCACCTGAGGTCAGGAGTTCAAGACCAGCCGGGCCAACATGGTGAAAACCTGTCTCTACTAAAAATACAAAAATTAGCTGGGTGTGGTGGCAGGCACCTGTAATCCCAGCTACTCGGGAGGCTGAGGCAGGAGAATCACTTAAACATGGGAGGCAGAGGTTGCAGTGAGTCGAGATTGCACCATTGCACACCAGCCTGGGAGACAAGAGTGAAACTCCATCTCAAAAAAAATTGAAAAAAAAACCAAAACTATATAAATGGTGGCTGATATCATTATAATAGTAGTTGTTATTATTATTATGTATCATCAGTAACATATAAATAGTGCTCAATATAGTTTGATTTTTAGTACATTTCTTGATATTCTAATTTTGAAAATTAGTCATATTTGGCAAATTTTACTAAGTGAATTGAGATATACAATTAACAACACTTTTCTAACCATTCAACATTTAGGAAAGCTTGTATATGTTTTTAATTTCCTGGTAACTGAATGGAGAGGGGCAGTTACTTCATTTCTGGAATATACATTGAGCCTCACAAAGTCAAATAATCCTTTGTCCAGCCTCTTAGTACATCACAGTCCATACAGACAATCTGTTTTGGCTTTTTTGTTTGTTTTTTTAGAGACAGGATCTTGCTCTGTCAGCCAGGCTGGAACACAGTGGTGTGATCACAGCTCTCTGTAACCACGAACTCCTGGGCTCAAGCAATCATCTTGCTTCAGCTTTCTGAATGGCTAAGACTATAGGTTTGTGACACCATACCCAGCTAATTTTTATTTTTATTTTGCAGAGATGGGGTCTTGCTATGTTGCCTAGGCTGTGCTCAAAAGATTCTCCTGCCTCAGCCTCCCAAACTGTTGGGTTCACAGGCGTGAGCCACTGCAACTGACCCTCAGAATCAGTATCTGACCATGTTTCTCTTCAGGATCATAAGTCTTTTTAAAGAAAAAATATGAACAACCAAATTATGTTGTAGACTCTTAGTTTGCTTTCAAATGACCCCATTCTATCAAAATAGATTAGACATTAAGAGCAGTGTTAGCATGAGGTCAGGGGTTTGAGACCAGCCTGGCCAACATGGTGAAACCCCATCTCTCCTAAAACTACAAGGAAAAAAAAAATTAGCGGGGCATGGTGGCTGGTGCCTGTAATTCTAGCTACTTGGGAGGCTGAGGTAGGAGAATTGCTTGAACCTGGGAGGCAGAGGTTGCAGTGAGCCAAGATCGCACCACTGCACACCACCTGGGTGACAGTGCATGACTCCATCTAAAATTAAAAAAAAAGGCAGCGTTAGCAGGCAATTAACTCTTTGTGCCTATCCACTGCTTCCTAACCCATTTACCTAAATAGACAGTCTAGAATATCATATGCTTACACCCTTATGTATTCTGTCTGGAAGTAATAATATAAAAGATAGCATTAATTTACTTTTTTTCAGTAGATGCTACCGAACTGTCAACATGTTATTAGCCTTGAGTTCAGATGTTCAAACTTGTCTCAGGCAGCTCTTGCTACCTGGTACCCATTTTGTTTTATTTTTATTTATCTTTTGGAGGGCAAGGAGGGAATGGCTTTGAAAAATCTCCTAGGCAAGAAAGAAGTCTTTTCTGCAAGGAAAATGGATCGTACTTTGTTTTCCTTCATAAAGGGTAATGAGGATATAATCTCAAAGCTATGCTTGACCATCATCTGTCAAACTAAAGCAAATAAGCCAAGTCCCATCTTCCCTTATTGTAAAACTAGACCAGAGGATAACCAACATTGTCTAGGCAAAGAAAACCACCCACACTTCAGAAAATGTTTACTTTTTCACTCTTGTTGAGTGATATGCCATCAAGGTATGAGTTAGACCTTGGCATTTTGTGGAAAGGTTTTCTTTGTTTAGCAAAACCACAGCTGTTCACTTCTGGTAATTTTGGATTTCCTAAAAAGTGGCCATAGCTTCTGAATTTGATTTTTAGTAATCTTTAGCAGACTGAGAATTTTTCTGATTTGAAGATTATATTGAAACACCAAAAAAAAAAAGTAGAGTGGTTTGTGTTTTACCTTCTGTATTAATGTGAAATTAGAGATGAAGCCTCTTTGTTGCTGAAATAACTGCATCCCCTTGTTTTCTGCTGTCCACTTTTATGTATTTCCTAAATATTCACAAATCTTGATACACTCCTGTAGAGATTCTTATTTTGTTTGTATGTGTGTTTTTTTTACAGTAATGTATTTTTTTGGGAATCCACCCACAGCTTTTTCATGGTTTCTTCTGTAATTTGGGTTTTATTTTAAAACACTATTGGAGTCCCTGGGGGGAATCCTGCTGTTACCCCTATCTAGATCTCAAGGTTATCTCCCTATTCCGTTGAACGAGAGAGCCGAAGTCAAAGGTGAGTCAGGGATTCCTTGGTGTGCAGGTTCTCACTGATAAACATGTTTTCTCCAGACCCAGCTGGGGGGCTAAGACTGGGGCAATTGGTGATGAGAGGGGCTGCTTCCATCAAGTTCAGTAGCCCTCTGTCACATGAGAAACTATTTCACAACAATCTCTACCCATTTGTCCTCCACTGTGGATAGGGAAGGGGGAGGGACTTGCTTAAAGAGTTCTAAGGTCATTTTTTTCTCATTAAAAAAATTGCAGTGAAGGATTCATAACATTAAAATGACCATTTTAACCATTTTTAAGTTTATAATTTGGTGGCATTAAGGGCATTCACATTTTTGTCCAACCGTCACCACTACCCATCTTTAAGTGACTTGAAGACGATTTGTTTAAAGTCACTTCTTGCCTCAGTTCCCAAATTCCAGTTGACTGTGCACTCTCTGTCTCTCTCTCTCTCTTAAAGTCTATGTTCTCATTCTGATTATTTAACTTGGAGAGTGAGAAGGATTTTTTTTTAACACCGCATGATGAATTGGTCTCAGTGGAATTCAAACGATCTCGTTGTTTTGGTTATTTCTTATCAGGAATGCTGGATTTTTTTCTAAGAGCCATGGCAGAGGTGAAGGGGCAAAACGGAGCCACCTCCTTTTGACTCAATTAAGCAGAAGTGAGGAAATGATTGGGTGATGGTAAATCATTCCTGGACATATATTCTCCATGCTAAAGGGGCATCTGACACCCTGAAGAAACTGAGACCCCAGTTTTTACCTAGTGAACCTTCTGGCTGCACTTTAGGGAAAACTCCTTATTGTTTTTATATTTGCTCTCCATTGATAAGAACTTCTTAAGGTCACAGTGTCCTTGGGTAATGAAGCCAGGCAGAGGAATGTTCTTTAATATTTACCTAGTGTGCACAGCACACCAGGAACTCTACAAAAGATACACACAGAACATGCCCAGCCTCTAGCTCAGCCTGACTTGGGGAGACTTCCCATCAGGCACACCCTGTGCTGGCTCCAGCTTCTGGAGTTTCTGGGGAATCATACATGAAGGGATTATCATCTTCACCCAGTATCCGGATCATCGGCCACAGAAGTTTGTTTGCTCAACACAGTCTGAATCAGTACCATGTTGAATAAGACACATTTTCCTTCTTGAAATATTCTTAGAACAATGTTTGCATTTTCCCCAAGGAAAAAACTTGCTCAGACACACACAGTTCTTTCTGATCCAGATACCCTGCTCTCCTCTGCCTCCTCTCATTGTTGAAAAAGTGTTTCTATTCCTGTACCCTAAACCCGCTCAAAGGGTTTCGATTTGGAGGTATTTTTCCCTTCCACATATGGATATGGCAGTATCATAAATCTGAAGGAAGGAGCAAAATTTTAATCTGGGTGCAGCTGCGTGTATACTGCTTCTCTCCTAAGGCAGGATCTTCTAGTCAAATCTCTGGCTAGTTGAAGATGATATTAGGTATAGAACTAGTTTGTTTAACCAAAACAAGATGTAAGTGGAAGCAGCACTCATGATGCAGAACTATTTAAAACTTTGTAGAGACAATCTGAAGACCTAACTGGTGTGTTAGTCAGTAAGTTTTAACACCCTTTAAATTGCTAATGAATCCCAGCGCCCAACATTATGAGCTGCTAAGTAGCTTCTAAAAGGATTACTGTCAGACTTAAAAGTGTTTTCTTTCCACCAGGGCTGTAGTGGTCTTCATATAAAATATCAGTTGCTATTATTAAACTTTTTACACTGAAAAATAATTTAGTATAATAATTATATTATTTCAGGCAAGATTTAGTTACATGTTACAAATACTTTATAAAGTAAGCTGGGTGGGGTGGCTCATGCCTGTAATCCCAGCACTTTGGAACACTGAAGTAGGAGGATCCATTTAGCCCAGGAGTTTGAGAACAGCCTGGGCAACATAGCAAGACTCCATCTCAATCAATAAGTCAATCAATAAGCCGGACGTGGTGGCATGCTCCTGTAGTTCTGCTACTTGGGAGGCAGAGGCAGAAGGATCACTTGAAGCCAGGAGTTTGAGTTTGCAGTGAGCTATATGTAGCCTAGGTGACAGAGCAAGACCCTGTCTCTTAAAAAAAAAAAAAAGGTAGACGCTATTGAATAGCCAACTAAGCTAGAGTCAAATCCATGTACTATCAGCCATCCTAGCATCTTGTGAGGTGGGTAGACACCAAGTCAGTCAGCTTCTATGTTACAAAAACAAAAACAAAATGGAGAAGGGAGAATTCCTAGCATATGGAGCTGGTGGGGGCATTGTAGGATAGGTAGGTAGTCCAGGGTTCTTCCTCAGATGTCCCTAACTCCCACCTCACCACTATGTCTGGTGCAGAGAACTCTTCTACAGTATTTCTGCTCACCTAGCCTCTCCTTGCCTGGTTTCCCACAACTGGACAAGTCAGCTCATTTCTTATCTACATGGCTCTAATTGTTAGAGAGTTAAAACTGTGAGTCCTCAATTCTCTGCCTTCAGTAATCACTGGCCATGCTCGCAGCCAAGACAAGCTGTTATTGTATACTGTCAAGTTTTAGAAGACATGTGCAGAGCTCACATAAAGCATTTCCCATGGATTGTTTGTATTTTAGCAGAGTTGCAAGGAGTCAAGTACCAACAGTACATGAGAAATGTCTTATCCATCGCATTAACACCTCCTTTCCTTTGATAAAAAGCCCTCAGGTGGTCTTGGGAATATAGTGCAGATGCACAGGTCAACATGGAAATTGGAAAACTCAGATAGGACTTTGATGGAAGTCAACCATTCAAACCTGAATCTTCTACTCGGCTCCTCTTGTTAAAATGTTGATAGCAAGGAAGAGAGGGCCATGCCTAGGTTCAAGTAAAGGGCATATCTGAGAAGAAGGCTGGGGGATAGCTGGTCCCTCAGCTACAGCTTTTATCGGCCGTGCTGTATCCTCAACTTCACTCCTAAGGAAATGGGATCAAGAACAACACAGTATCACTTTTGCTCAGCAAGCCACTAGAAGGCCAACCCCAGTATTTTACACATTGTAAACCATTTAATAGCCGTTGACAGAAGGTTTGTAAACCTAAATGGCTGCAGGACCAAGAAAGAAACACAAATGAATGAAATGTTCCACGTACAAAATCTAAGTGACCCTTTGTTCAAGAATGCAATGGGGAGTGGTGAGGACTGGGCAAATGGTGGTCTTGGGAACATAGTGCAGATGCACAGGTCAACACCCGTCTAAAGGAGGACGTTGCTTCTCAACTCTAATAGGTTCTTTTTGTTTTATTCCTATTTCTATGTATTTTTTTTAATTTTACTTCGAATTCTGGGATACATGTGCTGAACGTGCAGGGTTGTTACATAGGTATTCATGTACCATCATGGTTTGCTGCACCCATCAACCTGTCATCTAGGTTTTAAGTCCCGCATGCATTAGGTATTTGTCCTAATGCTCTCCCTCCCTTTGCTCCCCACTCCCTGACAGGCCCCAGTGTGTGCTGTTTCCCAATAGGTTCTTATAATGAAGGAATGCAGATCCAGTGTTGCCAGAAATCTGGATTTTTTAAGTGAACCATCCCAAATGACTCAATTTGGAATTTGAAAACATTATGTGGAATAATATGGTATAGGCCAACCAAAACAAGCCTGGGAGTCAAATGCCATTTGCAGATGCTGGCCTAGGGTCAGAGAGGATCATGGAGTTGTGTCCCAAGTAAGGGCATTTAAGATGGGACTATGAAGGAGTCCAGATGGTTTTCTGCAATGGGCCTTCGCCATTCCCTTCCCTCTTCTCCAGAAGAAAAATTGAGCTAAGCTCTGTGCCATCCCTGAAGAAATGCCTGTTGCCCTCTCAGATCAAGGAGCTTATTGGAGTGCAGAGGAGGAAGCTAGCTGAGAATGGGAATGTGGGGCATGGATACACAAGCAGCAGGGACAGAGCATGAACACAGGAGACTACAGAGTTCTAGCACATTTGAAGACATGCCTAAACTCTTGCCATTAGAACCTTTAACATTTCCCCCCTTTCCTAAAATCGTCCCTTTGCTTACTTCGAATTGTCAGTACCGCCTTCAACCAAAAGCATAGTTAATGGATTTGAAATCAATGCTCTCAAGTCTTAATACACCGTGTTACCTGCGATTTTGACTGACATATCCTCTCCAGGGGATCAGACGGGAAAGGTGCCTGACAGGAACACTGGAGAATTTCAGTCCTGATTTGAAATGAACGATTAAGCCAACTGATGCCGAAACATGGTGTGTTCAGAGTTCCTGCTGGAGGAATGCGGCGTTGTGCCTCTCCCCATTTATCATGCTGTTTACAAATCCTGTTAGAAGTTGAAAGTAAATTATCATCCTGCTGTTTAACTGCTGTTTTATAGCTAAGACTTTTAGAGGTGATTGAGCATGGACCCATCACTGCACTCGTGTGAAGGATCAGAGGGAAAGCAGTGTGGGGGAGGCGCCCAGGGCATGCAGAATACTTGATCTAGGAAAGGTGCTCATGGCCAGGTCTGGAAAGTGGGAAGCACCTCTTCTTCAGATCATTCCTGTCCCTGTTGAATGGCTTATAAAATGTGGGGTGTTTTACATTCACATTCACTGGGATTTGGAGTTTTGATCAGGAGACCAAAGGATTAAAGAATGGTCTGGTCCCTGAGTTTCAGATATGTGTACAAATGTGAGTGGTGCATCAAGTGAGGAAGACAACGCCTTTGCTTCATGGAACTCCATGCTAATCTCCCAGGCTTCTTGGTCATCACATCTGAGAATATTTATCTTAGAGGAGAGGAGACTCAGAGGAGTTTTGTCTGCCTTCTGATACTTGAAAAGACCATTATGGGAAAGCAGGATTAGACTCCAGAGGGCAGAATTAGGACCAATGGGTGAAAGCTAAAGGGAAACAGAAGTCAGTTTGATATTAGAGTCTTTGAAAATAAAAAAGGCCTGGGGTTGAATAACACCTTGGTGGTAGATGTTCTAAAAAAGAGTGTAGCATCATATGGGGGTTAGGTAGGATGAAGTTCCTGTTCTCATTTAACCTTGAGAGTCTATGATTTGAATCAGGTTTGGAATCCTAAATGGACCCACCCTCATGCATTTCTGCCTCCTGGATCATAAATAATGTTTTAAAACAATCATCTGGAAAAAAAGTACACAAATAATAGTCTGATTTGTACACACATGTTTATAGCAGCATTATTCACAATAGCCAAAAGATGGAAGAAACCAAGTATCCATTGATAGTTGAATGGATAAACAAAATATACTGGATCCATTCATATGTGTACACACACACACACACACACACACACACAATGGAATAACCGACTCATGCTATCCCATGGGTGAAATTTGAGGATGTTATGCTAAGTGAAATAAGCCAGTCACAAAAAGATAAATAGTGTATGATTCCAATTATATGAGGTACCTAGTGTATTCAGACTCATTGAGACAAAAAGTAGAATAGTGGCTGTCAGGGACTGGGGAATCAGAAAGAGAGAGCTGTTGCTTGATGGCGACAGTTTCAGTTTTGCAAGATGAGAAGCATGTGGATGGATAGTGGTGAGGGGGTGCAGCAATTGCTATGAACTGTACACCAAAAAATGGTTCAGATGGTACATTGTATGTATATTCTACCACAATTTAAAAATACCTAAAGAAATAAAAATAATTGGTCTATGAGCTGGGCCTCCCTCCTGCAGAAATTAACATGGAACAGATAGTGATGATAAACAGGTAATAAAAGAGATACAAAATGTGAGCAAATCTGAGAAGTCAAAATTAAATGAACGTGTATTTAAAATCAACCTACTTTGGATTTGAAAGGTAAAGTAGCACTGTATTTTAACTGAATGAGCATTACCTGCCGTGATTAAGAGCACAGGCTCCAGAGGCAGAATCCTGGGTTCAAGTCCTGGCTCTGTCTTAGACTAGATGTTGGGAAAATTACTCAATCTCTCTGTGCCTCAGTTTCATTATCTCCAAAAGTAGAGTTATTTGTGGAACAAGTAAGAGGATGTATAAAACATCTAAACCGAGCACGGCAGATCGTGGTAGATTAATAATGCTAGCTGTTGTCATAAGGCAGAATGAAAGACTATGTTTACAGAGTTGATGTACTAAATTGTACCCATTTTTCCCCTATTTTTTTTTTTTGAGACGGAGTTTTGCTCTTGTTACCCACGCTGGAGTGCAATGGCGCAATCTTGGCTCACCGCAACCTCCGCCTCCTGGGTTCAGGCAATTCTCCTGCCTCAGCTTCCTGAGTAGCTGGGATTACAGGCACGCGCCACCATGCCCAGCTAATTTTTTGTATTTTTAGTAGAGACAGGGTTTCACCTTGTTGACCAGGACGGTCTCGATCTGTTGACCTCGTGATCCACCCGCCTCGGCCTCCCAAAGTGCTGGGATTACAGGCTTGAGCCACCGTGCCCAGCCCATTTTTCTTCTAAATAATATATTTAATTCAAATAATAACTATGTTGGTGTTTGAATGATATATAATACTTTAACTGAATATTTTTCTGTCCCAGTGGATGACATTATGAAAATTATAAGAATGATGATATATTAATACAAAGAAGTTTGTGTAACCTAAAGAAATTTACTTTTGACCACAGTCAGTTATTGTTCAGGCTTCAACTTTGTATACTTATGCTAAGATGTATGACTACTTCACTGCATTACAGAAATGTAATTTAATCATTTAAGGGTTTTTGGTTTGTTATTAAACTCTTCATTCTCTAAGCTATAGTGTGAGGCTAATCGTGTGTTCTGGGTTCTGGGAATTGGCCCACATTTATTGTACATTTTAACCAAGAATTAATACATAGAATATTAATTAAAATATGAAAACTAAATTTAAGGTACTTGGGTACTCCTGTAAAAACTAAAATTTTTAACACTAAAATATTAACTGTTAGAATGACAGCTTTTTTTTTTTTTTTTTTTTTTTTGACACGGAGTTTCGCTCTTGTTACCCAGGCTGGAGTGCAATGGCGCGATCTCGGCTCACCGCAACTTCCGCCTCCTGGGTTCAGGCAATTCTCCTGCCTCAGCCTCCTGAGTAGTTGGGATTACAGGCACGTGCCACTATGCCCAGCTAATTTTTTGTATCTTTAGTAGAGACGGGGTTTCACCATGTTGACCAGGATGGTCTCGATCTCTTGACCTCGTGATCCACCTGCCTCGGCCTCCCAAAGTGCTGGGATTACAGGCTTGAGCCACCGCGCCCAGCCTCAGAATGACAGCTTTTAAACTCATAGGTGTTTGTTTACTGTATGTTAGGTTTGATTATGTGTACATATATCTCCACATTAGTGTAATTTGAGCTGAGATTAGAAACAAGATGCTGGAAAGCATCAAAAGTTGAACATTATAAACATAAATGTGGCTTGGTGCAGTGGCTCATGTCTGTAATCCCAGCACTTTGGGAGGCTGAGGTAGGCAGATCACCTGAGGTCAGGAGTTCGAGACCAGCCTGGCCAACATGGCGAAAATCCATCTCTACTAAAAATACAAAATTAGGGAATGGTGGCACACACCTGTAATCCCACCCACTCGGGAGGCTGAGGCAGGAGAATCACTTGAACCTGGGGATGTCGGGCGGAGTTGCAGTGAGCCAAGATCACTGCACTTCAGCCCGGGTGACAGAGTGGGACTCCATCCATCTCAGAAGAAAGAAAAGAAAAAGGAACAACAGAATTTGATCACTACTTGTTTGTGAGGGATGTTTGAAGCTCATCGACTTGTGGAATTGTGAGGTTATTAGTAGAAATGGGCAATTTGGGAAGACGATCTGGGACTTTTTTGTTTGTTCTGGAAAAAGGTGGTGCTTTTGGTCTCGAAAGGTCTTGGGCTCTGCTGATAAAGGTGTCCAACAGGCAGTTGGAAATGTAGAACAAAGCCAGGGAGAGCATCCAAAGTAATATTAGAGTTACAGGCCTTATCTACATAGAGGGTGACAAATATGAGAATGAATGGGATCCATGGGGGTGAGAATAGCAGTGCCCAGGAGAGGAGGGCTAGTACCTTGGTACTTAGAGGAAGAAGTCAACCTAGCACAGGTGATGGGTGGAGGACTAATAAGAACACACTGTTTCAGAAGCCAAGGGAAGAAAGTTTTAGAGGGAATGGTTGGCAATGCCAACAGCAAGGGAGTGTGGAGACACTGAGAAGAGGCAGGCAAATTTGGTAATTGAGGCAGAGCCATTTGGACAAACTCAAAATCCCAACTGCAGGGGATTAATAAATGTGAGTGGAGACCAGGGAGGCAGAGGCCAAAAGGACAGGGGTCTCTGTGGCGAAGTCCACCTCTAGAGGCAGTGAGATTGGGACATATGGCCACCAGGCTGAGGGACCCCATGACTGCCTTCCTGTGTACCTGTCAGTCTTTCACTGTAGTGTGGAGGCATTTCTCCACTCTTTAATGACTCTCTTAAATCATTCAACAGTCACTTCTGCCCAGAGCAGATGAAAGGGTGAAGGGCACTTTTCCCTGGGTCAGCAGGAGAACAGCACCTTATCACTACCATGATGTGTTCTGAAGGGACTAGGGTGAAAACCCTCAAGCATCCTGCCCTCCAGGGAAATCTGGAAACCTGAGGCAGCTCCTTAGAACAGAAAGAATCCAGAAAAGTGAAGCCGTTTACAGTGGGATTTTGTGGTTTTCTCCATTGATTTTTCATTTCCATCTCCAAGAGCCTTTCATTGCAGAGTATTTTTTTAAAAATCCCCTGTCAGTCAAGGGCAGATTCTCAGCACTGCTGAGAGCCTCATACTGGGCCAACACCTGTCCCAGGAAATTACTGAATGACAAGCTCAGGTGATCATCAGACTGTTCCAGAAACCCTGTTGGGAGCACAAGTCAACTGGTACGTTAGACCAGCAGGCTGAACATGTCCCTCGGAGAGGTTGGACTAACGCTGATTAAGAGAAAACACAAACAGTACAAAGAAGGACTGCAAATAGGAATTATTTTACACATTTTTCTAATTCCCAGACCACCACCTTTGCACCAAAGTGAACTTGGGCTATTGAGCCTCAGAGGTTATTTATTTATATGCGCAGTGTTTTGGGTGAAGCTTGATTTTCTCACCATCATTCTTCTTCCTTCCACCTTAGGGAACAGACAGACCCTCTGTCACATTTTTATAAAGAGTAGCTGTCCTTGTGTTTTCAAAATTGGGCTATCCCTCAGAAACAAAACAGAAATTACAAAGAAGTGTGTGAAATGAATCGGTGTGTTAGTATCTGAACTAATATGGAATGTGTATGCTGCATGTTTCAGAATTGCATATTCAGCATGTGATACCGATCCCAATTGCCTAAAGGATATAGTTCCAGTGTTTTCCTTAAGTCTG